AAGAAAGGCGTGGGTACATGGGGGGGTACCATATATATATATATTCATTCAGCGGCTCATATGTGTGTATATATATATGTATCTATATGGTCACACCCCCCCATGATCCACTTCCGTCTTTTTTCGATATGTAAAACACATAGAAACCACCGTAAATACCGATGACTTTGCTGTTGTCAGAAACTCACAAATTATATATATATATAGAGAGAGAGAGAGAGACTTGATACTGTCATATGGCCTCCTGCCGACTGAGTCAACAACACGGAATATGTAACAAGTTCCGGAAGTGTAGAGGTTTCGGGGGTAGGAAGGTGTCAGGTAGTGCTGCCGTGAAGGTTCTGTTCGGTGTCAGGTGGGGAGGCAGGTAGGTCGGGTTAATCCGGTAGAGTGCTATGTGCATGGGGGGGCCGGCAAGTGAACCTTGGTGTTTAGTGCCTTGCAGTGAGCATGTTTTGTGAGTTTTTGTTTGGGGGACCGGCACCCCAGTAGATCACCACAGAGTGGAGCTTGAGTGGTGATATGGAACTCAGCGCAGAGTGGAGGACCCAGGTGAACACAGAGAGGGGGTTTTCCACGGTCAGTGCCTTAGGAGGGGTGTTCTTTCGGGGGGTTGTCACTGTGATCACCTGGAGGGAACACTTCTGCAAGCCCCAAAAAGGGGAACGACAGACGCGAACCGTGGTGGGGTTGGCCTTCGGGCCGGGGGTTTTGCCCCAAACCCCTAGCAAGCAAGCAAGCAAGCAAGCAAGAGAGAGAGAGAGCGGAGGGTTGGGGACGGACTTACCCCAGCTCTCCCCACCTGGTAGAGAGAGAGAGAGAGAGAGAGAGAGAGAGAGAGAGTGAGTGTGTGTGTGTGTGCGCGCCAATTTGGGCGAGTGTTTTATGCAGTCCGCACGGGTGGACCAAACCGCAAACCTCGAAGCCCCCGGGTCAGCCGACAGCTCAGTTACTAGTAATTCCTGTGCACCAAAACACTCAATCCGTGAAGGCTAAACCAAGACAATCCTACCCAAAGCTCCAAGCCCACAGCAAGTGAACCGTGGGTTTTGTGACTCGCACAGACGTTGCACCTTGTCTGAACAGGGATTGCGTGGGTCCTGCCTGGTTCATTTACCACCTGCACAAGGCGATTGAAGTCTCAATCCCCGGCTCCGATATTTCAAACAAGCACATTCCACAACAGACCACAGTTGTGCAACAGCCACAAATTCCAAACCGTTAACCTTCAACATTTGCGGCTCGTGACCGACAGCTTCACAGGATTGGACTTGGACTTGGCGCACTTGGGTGGAACCGTTGCGTGGCAGCCGCCAGCAGCTCGTCCAAGCTTGAGCGATAAGATTGAAGCACGCACTCACACATGTCGCAACAATCGAAAGTAGCAGCGTGTGTAAGTACATCCTAAAGCCTGTGGTGCTGGAGTAGTCGGCCTCCTGATGCGGTTGTTACAGTAGCGGCAAGCCTGATAAACGCACTGCGGCCGAAGGACACGCCGCCTTCAGAACAAGCAGTGCGTTTTTGTGTTGAGGTCCGGCTGGAGAGCCGTAAATGTTTCTTGCTCGCAAGGTTTTCCGGGGTTTTCAACACCTAGGTAAAAACCGGCCAATATAACCCGAGAGGTCCTCTGAAGCACCCAGACACGAGTAGAAACACGCCGAAGAGGAGCTCATGGAGCGCGTGTACAGTTACGCCGTGTACCTGGCCGAGAGTGCTGCTGGGGACCAGCGTTCCCAGATCGGAAACCAGGCGAGGCCCAGCATGTTTTCGGAAGCTTGTGGTGTTGGCATGCCAATAGGCACGGTAGAAATAGCAGACATTATGTGCTGTTAGTTTTGCAACATGAACATCTTATCGCTGCTGCTACAAGGTGCTACCATAAGTACAAGTACGCCGGTGTTGACCGCAGGTAGCGACAGACGACCGAACACGCCGAGACCACTCCAAGAAACCCTCATGATGAAATGCCATGCGAGGACGTGACCCAATCCTTCCACGGTCCACGAATGACCCAGTAGTGTTGGCTATCAGTACTCAATCGGCGATTTGAGGCTCAGCTTTCGGGTTTGTGCGTAATCGCTACAGGCTTTGGTTTAACGGCCCATGCTCCCAAGCCTTAAGCTTTGAAAGGTGCTTGCCGGCACCGATGCCTTGTTGGTGCCGTCCGACACGCTGCGAGAATCCTACACTCACTTCGTGCCTGGGCAAGACATGTATTTGGCGATCTTATAATGCTCAGCTGTGAAATGAGCTCAGGCGATCTACACGCGCTCCACACTAGCAGAACAGCTTCCTGGCAACTGTAGGGGGGCTGATGCCAGAAACGGGGCAGAGAGAGAACCCCCCCTTTTTTCTTGGCCTTGGCCGTGTCTGAGGACGACTCCCTCCTCCTTGGCCTTCCTTGACGAAGTGTCCAAAGCAGGAAATGTCAGTTTCGTCGATGACGACCTTGACCGCTACGAGCCCTTTGTCAGAGCTAGAACTTCACTCTTTTGTTGTTTCTAAGATTGGATCTCAAGCTAGCCCCTCTCAAAGCATCTGACGCGAGGATTGGAGGCGACTTGATCTGGCTGCAGCCGGAGGATGACAGCGAAGTGCGACACTACCAGATCTACTTAGCCGAGGCTCTACCTGGGCTACCTCCCTGCTGCATTCCCTAACCTTTTAGCGCCGTTCTGCACACAATCACCGAGTCACCTGACAAAAGTGTCCTGTGGATTTTGTCGATCATAGAAACCGCTGGGCTGTGCGCTGGTTCGTGCCTGCACTGGCTATGGCCAGTGTCTCCCCGTTCAGGACAGCTCTGGGAGCAATCGCTCATTGCTGGGCAATGTAAGCCAGGGTGTGCACGTATTCGCTGTGCCGCCCAATACGGCCTTGATGTCCTTTACACACCTCACTGTCTTTGCTCAGCCCCTTGGCTGGAAGATCGAGAGATGAGCAAAAGTTTACTAGCATGATGTTGCAATTTGCCCTTCCAAGCTCGTTCCGATTGCAGCGATCTTACAGTTTGCATGGACCTGCCGCGAAGGTCCATTCTGTCGGAGCAGACCACGCCGAGTTCAGCCACGAGTCTATACATGTCTATGCACTCGTCACTAGTTGATCTGGCAGCTCTAGCACCTTGAGTTCAGGGCACTCCGGTTCAGTTCAGAGTCCAAACCCATGAGGTTCACTTCCGGGATTCTTGCAGCGACAGGTCCTCATCGTGGACACCATTGCAAGCGTTGCCAACCTCCGCCTCATCGACCTGGATTTGGAAGCCCGGAAAAGTTTTCGGGCCACCTCGCTTAGTGTGTCAAGGTCCATCCTTATGTGCCAAGGCAGACCTGAGCAAGAAACCAGAAGCCCAAGCTTTCAGAAAATGGCCTTGCACTTTCTGACGGAACCTCAACCTTAGCCGACTTAGGATCCTTTGGAGATTGGTGGCCGTGCAACATGGACACCACCAGCGCGACTCGGTTACTCCGAATGCGGGCTGCAGTTGCTTGCGATGCGTCAAAGTAAGGAAAAGGCTTAGGGTTCACAGTGACAGCTATGAAGAAATCCGAACCTCTCCCTCCCCACACAGACCTGTCTGTCTGTTTGTCGGTCTGGCTGTCTGGCTGTCTGTCTTTCTATACCATGCATCCGTCCATACACAGGTATACACACGCACATGGATGTGTGTACATACAATCATACATACATGCATACATGCATACGTACATGCATACGTACATACGTACGTACATACGTACATACATACGTACATACATACATACATACATACATACATACATAGGACATACATACATACATACATACATACATGCACAATGTACCTGTGAGAAGTCACATACATTTGCACAGATGTACACATACACATGTGTATGTTATATAGACACATATATATATATAAGCCCGATACTGTACCTTTAGGGTACATTTAACCACGCTTTTATATTTTGCAATACTAAATGCTTAGCTAAATAGAAGATGGGTAAGTTGTACTTTGTACAAACCGAAGCCCAAAAAGTTTTGGACCGACAGTCATATATTGAATAATATCGAATTTCCATGTGTTTCAGAAGCTTGGCCTGGTGAGTGGCATCCATACTTGAGGTGTTGATGATCTTATGTTCCCTTCGTTACCTGTCACATAAGTTGATGTTATGATCGTACATGAATTATTACTTTCCTGATGTGATTATTGAGTGCTGTCTAGCGTTGCTTGATGTATGTGCTGTATGCAATACTTGCGTTTGAAGCTATGTGTGTTCCATGTTTCTGTGTCAGTTGGTCTTCGTTATTCCTTTTCGTCGCTCCTTAGTACAGTTCCAATCTTCCAACTCTAACATCAACTCCAAACCTCCAGCCCGTCTACAAGCACTGTGACCAACAGCTGCAGCAAACGACAACAATAGCAACAGCATCAACAATCACAACCACGACCACAAGCGCAGCAACATCAACAATATCCAAAACCTGCAACCAGTACAATTCGCAGCAGTTTAATCACCATCACAATGTTGGTAGTAGTTTTGAATAAACTCATACGAGTAACAAGTCATACATTAACACGGTGGTGAGAATTATGAGCAACCGCAAACATCAGCAAGCAGTGACCATCAGTATCACAACAAGCAGTGTATGGGCATGAGTGCTGATCATAATGTATCACTCGTAACAGGTAGACTATGTCCATTTGTTTTCCTTCCAGCTTTTCAGCCCTAAAAGCAACCCTAACCTCCCAGCCCATTGGTAAGACCGGGGGTCGACGAATCAACAAGGCCACCAAAACAACAACGACAACAGCAACAGCCGCAGAAACTTATGATGAATATGGTAGAGACGAGTACGAGATGAGATGGTTCGAAGATGGGGGAGGATGGGGAGCTAGGTCATAGAGATCAAAGAAAGGGAATGGGGCATGCTCTGTCGCAGGCAGTGTCGTCCGTATCTGTTTGTGTTTGTTTCTTTAATGGTTTCGCGTCAGTCGGATTTTGCGTTTCTTCATCAACAGCAACAACAGTGACGCCGATGACAGCAACAACAACAGCAGCACGACAACAACAAGAACAACAAACACCAATCGCAACCGCGGAGTTCTATGATGGAGGTAATGAAGATGTTGACGATGACAATGAGACGAGACAAATTGAGTATTGGAGCTTATGGCGATGATTCCTTTCAACTCCTCAGTCGCGATCAGTGTTCCCCTCCTCACTTTTGGTGTTCATGCTCTTGAAAAAAATTGGCAAGCAGTACCCCTTAGCTGCTTTTGTAGTCTAACGCATGTTGTAATGTCAGTCGGACTCTACTTTTCAACATCATCAACACCAACATCAACAACAAGAACCACAAAGTCATATGATGGAGACAGTGAAGATGTTTATGATTAAGATGACACGAGAAAGCCTAAAGATGGAGAGGTTAGCTGTTCTTGGGAGGGGGGATGGGGAGGTAGAACATAAAGACTGAATGAATGGGAAGGGGCACGATGACGAAGAAGATAGAGTGGTGAACTCCAAGCAGTGTCCCCCTCATTGGACTTTGCTTTTCATCCACCACAGCCAGTAGCAACAACAACAACAGCAACAACAACAACTGCAATCCATACGATGAGCAATAAGTAGTAAGTATCCTCACATCATTCATATTTAAAGTGATTATACCCATACTAGAAATGAATCATAAGTACACCAAAGACAAGGGAGCAGTATGAACAACGGCAATCATGAACAAATGTGCCATCAATGTCATAGCAAACCGTATCATGTTAAGATTGTTGTTCATAATGTATCACATATGTAACAATGATAGTTAGAACATGGGTTTACAAAAAACTTGTGTTTAATGTTGGCAGACGGCAAGGGTTTAATAAACAAAACATGCATGTATTTTATGATGTTGCAGAAGAAGAAAAGTGTACCAGCAAGGTTTGCGTTTTTGTTGTTAGAAGACAAGAAGGGTTTGCAAAAAACCTTGCGTTTGTTGTTGGAGGGAGACAATGGTTTACACAACACCTTGCATTCTTAATGTCGGATCAAGACAATGAGGGGAGGGAGGGGAGGGAGATGGGACAAACTTCGAAAAAAAAGGTGCCATCGAACCGCTGTCTTCAGGTTTGGAAAACGCAGCGGTCCGACAGTCCAACATTTTCTGAACTGTTTCCTGCAGAAAGCTTCGTGCTGTCGAACCACTGCTTCAAAAAATAGGGTGCTATCGAACCGCTGTAAATAATTGAAAATATACTTGAATTTGCTTCGATTGACTTGTTAGTGGTGGTATGTAAATCACGCAACACCCAATCGCAGCTAATTTTGCCAACCGATTCTTGGGCAAAATTTGCTGCGATTGGTGTTTTCTAAACTAGGAAACTAATCGCAGCAAATTTTGCCAACCGATTTCTTGTGCAAAATTTGCTGCGATTGACTTCTT